AAAAAAAAAACCTCTCCTGTATCACAGGGTGAATACCAAAGTCCATGCTACCACTCACAGCGTGGAATGTCTCCTTTTAGCCTGACTCTCACTCCTGTGCCTCTCCTCTTCTTACTCTGCTCCAGCCACACTGGCTTTTCTCCTGTTCCACAAGAAGTCCAGGCACACTCCTACCTCAGGGTCTTTGCACTTGCTGTCCCCTCTGCCTACAATGCTTTTGCCCCTACTGCTGGCTTCCTTGCCTCCTTCAAGTCTTATTTTCAGGATTTCCTTTCCCAGCAAGGACTTCTCCAGCCACCTTGCTGAACGTTTCACACTTCCCTCCATACCCCGCGTTTCGTATTTGCTTTCCCAGCTTTGTGTTCTCTGCGTAGCATTTATCATTATCTTACACGCCATAATTTTTTATCTTGTTTATCAGCTGTCCCTCCCAGTGGAACATAACTGCTAGGAGGACATTGATTTTTATGTTTTGTTTACCTCCGTAGCCCAGCATCTAGAATGGCGCTTGGCACACAGTAGGTACTCCATAAATATTTATTGCATGAATGAGTGAATGGATGGATGGATCCTTGCCCTAGATCCTTTCCCGATTACCTGTGCCTGAGAAGCTGGTGGCGAATCAACAGTGGTCTGTAAGCACCTCTTGTAAGTTGGAGTTGCCAATAGAAACACGCTCTTCTGTATGCTCCCTTCCTGGCGTGCAGGGACCTGGGAAAAGCGGAGATGCTGATTGATATCTCTGACTGGGAAGGAAGATGGGATTAGGTACTAGAAATTAGAGGAAGGATGTCTCCGCCCGTCTGCTCCCAGCAGCAGAGGCTGTGATCTGCCTGGCAAGTCGCCTGCTCCCAGAAACAGGATGTGTCCAGAGAGGAAGTGACTGCAGACATAGTTCGGGGGGGAAAATGCCCTGTGCCTGAGACAGAACACTTGAGGCTAGTCATTCTGGAGCCTTCCAAGGGTCCATTCCTGGGGGATGAGTAAATTCCGCTCCACGGTCTCGCAGTGACTCACTCTGTATCTCGGGGAATTCACGGCCCATCCCTAAGACAGGGCGAACAGGTGTTTCCTCCTCTGGGGTTCCCGGCTTGGGCCACTGGGGGCTGATGGAGAGGCAAGGCCCGTGCCAAGCCCACAGCCAGCTCGGGTGGGCTACGAGATTAACCTGCTTCCGTGCCGGCGTCTTCCTGGGAATGATGTGGATGAGGAGGTAGCATTGGCAAGGCAGCAGGGTCTTGGTGCTGTGACTGCCACTGCCGGGAGGAACAACTCCGTGCCGGAGACCGAAAAGAGCACGCGAGTTTCGGGCTCTGCAGAAACTGTCAGAGGGAGCAGCTTTTTAGCAAAACATTTCACCAGTCTTGTTGTCTTCCTTGATTCGAGATCAGAGTTTTGATGGTGCAAAAGGTCATCACCCGGGGTCTCTAGGAAACCTGCTGTCTCCCCCTTCCCCAAGAGTGGGCAAGAAAACAAGCTGAGCCTGACCGAGCCCTGGGACCTCACGCTCAGGCGCCCAGCAGAGGGATCTCCCTGCTTTAATAAGGCGGTCCCGCTTCCAGACCACGGAGGCTGCGGCCTGAAGTCTTATTTTGCAGCCCGAAGTGAGAGAAATAGTTCCTACAGACGCTCCACGGTAGCTCTGCCTTGGTGGGCTCAAAAATGTGGCCTCTGCATTTTGGCCAAAGGGCATTAATGTCATACCGCCCACTCCAGGAAACTTTTGATGGAAAGCAACTTGGCTATTTAAGAAAAGAACCACAAACACGGTGTTCAGCATGGAAACGGGCAGACGCATCAATTCAAGTTCCCAGAAGAATAGAGCAAGAAAAGTCTCCCAACACCCTGCGACACCGCAGCAATCTCCAGACGAGCTCTGGGCCTCCTGTTTCTGGAGAAATGCAGGGAGCAACTCAAAGCTTGTGTGAGCATTGTGATTATTACGATAAAAGCAGACGCGTTTTCTTCTTCCTCTCGGAAAACCAAAACAAGCATCTTTAAGCTTGTCTTTGGTAAGAGGTTAAAGAGAGCTGGAGGTGCCCTCCTGGCAGGCTGCTTCTAACTTACTCATTCACAGAAAAGAGCTCATATGGTACAAAGCATTCTGCAACCTGCTTTTTTTTTTTTTTTTTTTTTTGGCTTAAGTAATTGCCCATGAGCATCTTTTCATGTCAGTATGTATATACCTACATCCTTTTTCTTTTTAAGTGTATTCATTTATTTTGAGAGACAGAGAGAGAGTGCAAGCAGGGGAGGGGCAGTGAGAGAGAGAGAGGGAGAGAGAGAGAATCCCAAGCAGGCTCCGCACTGTCAGCACAGAGCCCAACGTGGGGCTCGATCTCACAAATGGTGAGATCACGGCCTGAGCTGAAATCTAGAGACAGACACTTAACCCACTGAGCCACCCAGGTGCCCCTGTATCTACATCCTTCTATGTACTTCCTGTAAACTAAGAAACTAAGGGGTCTTTCCCGATGGAGGAGACGGAGTCACCCTGGGGATGGCCTGAAGGCGAGCCCCAAGCAGACATCCACCCCGCTCAGTGCTCTCTGCAGGATACTCCCCCACGAGGAGCCACCTCTTGGCTGTCTTTGAGCTCCTCCCCACTGCAATTTCCCCTCACCCTGCTCCAAACTCACTTTTTCCTTTCCAGAGGCTAGAAATGAAAAGCAAAGAAACCATTCTCCCTGGTGGAGTGAACAGCCCTCCTGATTTGCCTGAGAGTGAGGGTTTTCCCAGGACATAGGACTTTGAGTTTTAAAACGAGGACAGTCCCATGAAAACCAGGAGGGCTGGTCGTCCTATTCCCAGAATCATGGCGTTGGCAGGAGGGAAGGGAGCTGAATCCTGACCGAGTTTCTGGAGATCCCCTTCTCACAGTTCCACCCAGGTCAAGCTAGAAGTTTCTGGAAGGCACACTTACAGAGATTCTCATTGACTGGGCCTGCTTAGGTCCCATGCCCACCCTGGAAACAATCACCAGGACAGGGAACGGAAGCCTGAGAGGCTTAGAACTATCCACCAGGAGGGGCTCAGTCGTTGAGCATCCAAATTCAGCTCAGGTCATGACCTCCCAGTTCATGAGTTTGAGTCCCGCATCTGGGCTCGCTGCTGTCAGCACAGAGTCCGCTTCTGATCCTCTGTCCCCCAATCTCTCATTCATTCTCCCCCATTCATTTTCTCTCTCTCTCTCTCTCAAAAATGAAGAAACATGAAAAAAGATAAAGATAAAAAAAGAGCTATCCACCAGGAAAGGGATCCAAATGAAGACACTGACTGCTTCCCACTCAGCAAAGCTGTCACTTCTCTAAAGCCAGCCACAGCCTCTCCCTAGATTATCTCATTTTTCATCAAACGAGGTGGCTGCCAGGCCCTTCCCCACCGCAGTCTGTGGGACGTGAGTCCTGGTATCCTCGAAGGAGCAGAGCTGGGAGCAAGATGGACCCCCTAAGAGGCGGGAGACGCTCACAGGCAGGACGGACTTGGCCACCACGGCAGGACTCATCACTTCGTGGCCAGCAAGGTCAGGAGACCAGGCTAAACTTAGGTGTAAGCCGTATGTCAGGAACACTTTCAAATAACAGGCTCCGTTTGCTGGCAGTGAGCCTTCCAACATCTTTCAGGCAAAAGGCCTCTCTCTACATTTAAACCAATGAATCTAATTACTATTTGGAGAATACCCAGTAAGTACACAACTTTCCCTGTGTTTCCAGAACTTCTGGACATTCTGTGGTACATTTATTGTACTTTCTCTCTCTCTCTCTTTTTTTTTTTCAGCTTAACAGTTAGACCCAATAATTTCAATTTCAAGTACTTTATCTGAAAACGTAATGAGGTTATTATTTGAAAATGTAAGTACTTTTAAATTTTTTTGATGTTTATTTATTTTTGAGAGAGAGACACACACAGAGCACGAGCAGGGGAGGAGCAGAAATAGAGAGAGAGAGAGAGAGAGAGAGAGAGACAGAGTCTGAAGCAGGCTCCAGGCTCCGAGCTGTCAGCACAGAGCCCGATGCGGAGCTCGAACCCACGAACTGTGAGATCATGACCTGAGCCAAACTTGGCACTTAACCCACTGACCCACCCAGGTGCCCCAAAAATGTAAGAACTTTTATAAAAATAAATAATTGAATAAATAAATGAATGGAGGACGAAATACAAATCTCCCATGCAGAAAAATTCCAAATAATTTGTGTATATACTCTGCCCTCAAGGCTCCCCGGTCCCTGGTCCTTAAGCACGGGTTGTGCATAGTGACTTCCTTCCAAGAAACGGCCGGAAAATGGGAGAAAAGAGGAACTTTATAGTGGAGAAACCTGACTAACATGACCTCAGCCAGGTGATTTTATTTTAAAATAAATAAAGGTGTATTTATTTATTCTGAAAAAGAGGGAGCACTCGAGCAGGGGAGGGGCAGAGAGAGAGAGAGAGAGAATCCCAAGCAGGCTTCATGCAGACAGCACGGACATGGGGCTCAAACCCATGAAATGTGAGATCACGACCTGAGCCAAAAACCAAGAGCTAGATACTCAACCGACTGAGACACTCAGGTGCCCCCCCACCCAGCCAGGTGATTTTTTTTTTTTTAATGTTTATTTATTTTTGAGAGAGAGAGAGAGAGTGCAGGAGGGGCAGAGAGAGAGGGGGACAGAGGATCCAAAGCAGGCTCCGTGCTGACAGCAGAGAGCCCCATGCAGGGCTCGAATCCGCGAACTGTGAGATCATGACCTGAGCGGAAGTTCAATGTTAACCAACTGAGCCACCCAGACGCCCCATCCCAGCCAGGTGATTTAAAAATTTTTTTTTAACGTTTATTTATTTTTGAGACAGAGAGAGACAGAGCATGAACGGGGGAGGGTCAGAGAGAGGGAGACACAGAATCTGAAGCAGGCTCCAGGCTCTGAGCTGTCAGCACAGAGCCTGATGCGGGGCTCGAACTCACAGACCGCACGAGATCATGACCTGAGCTGAAGTCGGCCGCTTAACCGACTGAGCCACCCAGGTGCCCCCCGCCAGGTGATTTTAAAAGAGTTTGTCCCATGTTTCCCGACTTTGCCAACACTTACACAGCTGTGGGGAGGCAGTCTGGTTCAGCAGAGGGTCAGCCACACTGTCACCACCCCCTCGGACAGGCGGTTCCCCTCATCCTCCCAGATCCCCCCGGCCATTCACTCATTCTCTGCTAAAGGCAGCAAGGTCAAGGGCCTTTCAGACCCTCTGGGTCGGTTTGGTTAGAGGTGGTTTGCACAAAGCGTTGCTGGGACCCCGAGGGCACACTTTATAGGACATGCTGTTCACGCCAGCATCTGAGACCACAAAGCCCAAGAGTCTGAGTGTGGAGACACCCAGGAAGTCTGAAGGGCCCTCTCACCTTCAGAGGCCCAGCTCAGCTCACAGGAATGGCATGCATCAAAAGGCAAGAAGGCCTTACAAGTCCATCCCATCAAGCCACCAGACGCTGGTCACCTTTATGTGGTTGCACAAAAGGTCAACTTCTCCAGGAGGGGTGTGGGGATCTGTGACCTTTGGAGCCAGGGTGGAACCCATGCCTGAGAAGCCAGGCTACCACAGGAAGTGGGGACCCCCCCCCAACCCCCGGCAAGAGAGGAACTCAGAGCTGGGCCTTCTATTCCCTCAGGTAATAAGTGGTATTTTGGTTCTTGGTTCCTTTTCTCTCTTCTTTTCGACCCCCACACATTCTCCAAGGAAGTATTAAACACGTTCTGCAAAACCCAGGAACAAGCCCCCAGAGAAACACAGAGAAGAGTGGGTGCCCTTCCTTCAAGATCTGATATATCCAGGTGGCTCAGTCGGTTAAGTATCCAACTTCAGCTCAGGTCATGATCTCATGTCTCATGGGTTTGAGTCCTGCGTGGGGCTCTCAGCTGTCAGATCTTCTGTCCCCCTCCCAACTCTCTGCCCCACCTTTCCCCCCACCTCAAAAATAAATTTAAAACATTAAAAAAAAATCTGACATATCCAAGGCCCAGCTGGGGCCTTGGATAATCCAATCTCACCACCAGCTGGGTGGAGGGCCCGGGGCACAGCTCCCTGGGGACAGCTCCCTGTCCTGGCCTTCCCTGGGGGAGACAGAAGGTAGAGGCAGGTCATCAAGTTGGGCTTAGTCACAATTGCCCTTGGGGAGTTCTGTGCAGGCGATCGCCTTGTGAGGAGAGAAAGAATCTCTTAGTGGGTTGAAGCAGCATCTCTGTAGAAGGAGGGAGAAGAAACAACAGGTTAGCTTCCTGAGGGAAAGAGAGGACAGGAGAGCAACACAGGAGGGGGGACAAGAAGGCAGAGAGGGAGACGCAGGGCAGCCCTAGGGACAGAGGGCAACGCCTGCTTGTTACAGGCCTGCTCAGGGCCACAGGATGTTGCTAGAAGACTCAGTAATCATGGCTGGTTGCCTCCTCATACCATTTTGCAGATAAGAAAACTGAAGCCCATGAGGTAAAAACCCTTCACCCTGGGACCACAGGCAGTGGTTAGCTGAATCAGATTTGAACCTAGGAGTGTCAGACTCCAGCGTCCGGGCTTTTACACGACTCTGTGCTCGGTCAGTAATTGCCTCAGAGTAGCAGGCTGCCTGCCTCGGGTCCACGCTTGACCCGTGCCTGATTTTGTGATTTTAAAAATCACCATCATGCAAAAAAAACAAAAAACAAAAAAACAAAAAACGTTTTAAATAATAAAGTTAAGTTGAGAGCCAAAGTAACCGTGGCTGGAACAAACGATGTTTCCGTCTGTTAGCTGTCCTCAGTTGTCAGGGCTTCTGGCTCCTTCTCTCTTGTTGCTGCCCCTTCCCAAGGGTATGGTGCAAGGGGGCTCCAGCCCCCTGTGTTCATATTCCAAGCAGCAGAAAGGGAATAAAGAGGAGGGGGAGGCACACTTTTCCTGCAAGGGCACTGCCTGGGAGTTGAACGCATCATTTCTCCTCAAATTTTATAGACTAGACTGTAGTCGTAAAAGCCACAACTAAGGGCAAATGGATGACAGGTGAGTCTAAAACATCCTTGGGCAGCCGGGGAGGCCTGGTGTGATGGGAGCCTTCCGCCTCAAGCAGCCTGTTTCATTACCCCAGCATTCTATGCAAAAGTATGACTTTCCGGGGGTGCCCGGCCAGCTCTGTCAATGGAACATGCAATTCTTGACTCTGAGGTTGTGAGTTTGAGCCCCATGTTTGGCATGGAGATTACTTTTAGAAGAATCAAAAGTGAGGAGCGGGGGGCGCCTGGGTGGCTCAGTCGGTTAAGCACCCAACTTCAGCTCGGGTCAGGATCTCACAGTTTGTGAGTTCGAGCCCTGCATCGGGCTCTGCACTGACAGTGCACAGCCTGTTTGGGATTCTCTCTCGCCCCCTCCCACTCGCTCTTTCTCTCTCCGTCTCAAAATAAACTTAAAAGAATAAAGATTTATATTTTTTAAAACATCAAAAGTATGACTCTCTATGTGTACTGTCATGTGCGAAAGTTAGGTTCCACTGACTTACAAGGCTGTGACTGAGCGGCATAGGGGTCTGGAAAAAAGTAGGAAAACATTCTCATGGAACTGATTGGGGGGGGTGGGTAAAGGGATACCAAGGACAAGAACATTGGGGCAAACTCCATCACCTCTCAAAGGATCATCAGCACAGGATATGTCTTCCAAAACTAATTGCAATTGGGGAAACCCTTCCTTTAGTTGGCTAGGAAAATAACAACAGATTTAAACATCTTAACAGTATACTTGCCAAATGAACTCATCAGGGAACAAAAACAAAATTAAAGGGGCGCCTGGGTGTCTCGGCTGGCTAAGCGTCTGACTTCAGCTCAGGTCATGATTTCGCAGTTTGTGGGTTCGAATCCTGAGTTCAGGCTCTGTGCTGACAGCTCAGAGCCTAGAGCCTGCTTCGGACTCTGTGCGTGTGTCTCTCTCCCTGCCCCTGCCCCACTCTCACGCGTGCGCGTGTGCTCTCTCTCTCTCTCTCTCTCAAAAATAAATAAACGTTTAAAAAAATGAAATTGAGATGACCAAGTAAGACTCATCTCTGGAATTCAAGTATTGTTAAACATCAAAATTATAATTATAGCCTTGCTGGACATCTGCCCCTTCAAAGCCACTCTTCAACCTTTCCCCATCCTGCTCTATGTCCCTGAAGGTTGTCCTCTAAGGACCACATCACTGGGCCTTCTGGCCCCGGCTTCGTTTTGTTTTTTTTTGTTTTTTTTTGAGAGAGAGAGAGAGAGAGCACAAGTCGGGGAGAGGCAGAGAGAAAGGGAGACAGAAGATCCAAAACAGGCACTGCGCTGACAGCAGCGAGCCCAAGGTAAGGCTCGAACTCACGAGCCGTGGGATCATGACCTGAGTCAAAGTTGGACACTCAGCCCACTGAACCAGCCAGCTGCCCCTCGCCCTGGCTTCTGAGAGGCTCAGCCAGTGAGGGCGCCAAGAGAAGACAGGAAGAAGGGAGGAGCGAACTGTCGATTCCTCCAGGTCTTGCCACTGGGCAATCCTTGCCTGAAGGTC